GCCTGGAATTTGCATTTTGAATTTCCATGACTTTTCCAGGTTTTGAATGACCGTACGGTACGAACCCTGTATAGTTTAGTTTGGCATCTGATTTAGGGGATTCAACAATACACTCATTGTATTTGTTACCTGTTGGTTACTGACTTGGTCGTCACTAGGCCACTTTTAATCGTGTTGCTGCGTGCTGCTGCACCACACACCCGCCGTGGCCTGTCTGACTGAGTGACTGACTTAGTGATGTGTCGGTCGCGAACGAGCCGGCGCAAAGAGCCGGCTCTTTTAAGTGAACGACGGGAGCCGGCTCTCGCCCGCGAACGAGCCATTTTTGCGGAGGGATCTAGATCGGCATGAAGGCACATTTGCAATGTGCACATTATCCCGCTTATTACATGGCCACATTCTCAACAAAGTAACGACATGACTCCCAATAGTAATGGAAATGCTTTTATGGATTTAGAAAATGATTTTATTGATTTAAAAAATAGTTTTATGTATTGATTTAAATTGACATGCATCCGCTAAGAAAAGTAGTCCGTTGTTACTGTTTGAACTAACGTAGCAACGGCAGGAACTGCTTCGATAGTGTTTTTGATTACAGATTTGAAAACATCGTTGCTTGCTTTAAAAGTAGCACACTTCATGATGTCAAACCTTGGAAAGTATCTAGATATCCCTGCCCTAATGCCAAAGGAACTGCACACTGAATATGTGTCGCCGTTTGATGTCCATGTCTGGACCGCTGCGTAAAAAGGAGGGTTTCTGCCCCATTACTTCTCTTCTTACTTCTATAAGAATAAAACACGGAGGACGGAGATCTCTTTTTCTCCCCCTCTTCTGACAGCCCAGCAGCTGATCTCAGAGCACGCTCCCCTCTCCTGCAGGGGGCGTGGTCAGCTGCAGCTCACAGAATCAGCCCCCTGCAAAAACAGCGCTGGATGGAGCAAATAGAGCGAAATGAGGCATGGCTAAAATACAGGATCTTTTTGGTATTTTGAAAAAAAACCTATATTTATATACTTTATATAGGTCGATACAGTAGCCCCTTTTTTTAAATAGTGTTTATAGGTGTTGCTATCTGTTTTGTGTAGTGTGGTTCTACAAGCAAGTCAATGCATTCATTGGGTGGTATCAGAGAGTTGCACGGGTCTGTAAATGCAATGAAAACAATTGGCCACAGCAAATCATTTATATTAAACATGTAATTTTTACTTTTGAATACTTCAGTACAAAGGATGTATTGAATAATTTAAGTGATATATGTGTACAAATATAAATCATTAGTCAAAACAGGGCTACATTTGATTTAATTAAAAGGTATAATAAGTGGTAAACTGAAGAGCCGTTTGGGAGCCGAAAGAGCCGGCTCTTCTTGGTGAGCCGAGCCAAATGATCCGGCTCACCAAGAAGAGCCGGAATTCCCATCACTAGACTGACTGTCAGCTCTGCGCGCTCACGTTGAGAGCAGGGAAGGGAGGGGCTGCAGCCAGGAGTACGGGAGTGCCGCGGGGCACGCGTGGGGATGTCTGACAAAATTACAACGCGCATTTGGGGCATTGTTGTATATATTAGAAGCTTTTAATCCAGAATTGATCGATGTTACCATGAGCCACATACAGTACACTGTAATTTTTTTTTTAAACTGTAAAAAACGAACTTTCAAAAGGGCACATTGCTGTCCAGAGGGCAAAACGGGCAGGTGCTCAAGCACTACCTAGAGTCTATGTGTGCACGTCTCTGCTGACATCCCTGTGCTCCTCTGAGTCTGGGGGTCCGGGGATGTGAGGACAGCGCGAGGACACAGACAGGGAGGTTGCTTTACTTCATAAAAGGAAATGGTGGTCAATATTAACAACATAGGAGTTAAAACGCTTAATAACCTTCATTATGCGTTAGAGAAAGAACATAAGAAAGTTTGACAAAGATGAGGCTGTTAATCGGGCAGCGGATCCGCTGTGTGTAGAAAGAGAGAGAGACGCTGAGCTGCACCGTGCAGCGATCAGCTGATACGGAGCATAGATAGAGCTGCAGTCCGCGGGGCTCGGCCTCGCCTCCTGTCCTCACAACTCTTATTAATCCCGGTACCGGACAATTGATATTTGTTCCTAATCGGAACCGTGTTTTGCTTCCCAACCCTGCCACTGTGCTACACTTCCCACCCGCCCCGCCCCGTCTAACTGTACAGAAAGCGGCGAGATGCATTTCCTTAGGAATCGACAAGCAGAATCTAAACGAACAATGGCGGACACGTACAATTTGCGATTGAGTTCTGCCTTTTGTAAACTGAATGTATCAATAATTTGTCAATAAATCAGGCCGAAAAACGTCACTTGTCCGCCGGACAAGTCAATTGAAAGATCTACTTGTCCGATATTGTAAATAACACGTCCCGGACGGTGGGACGTGTACTTTTTCGCACACTGTCTACCCTATTTTTATAAATTTTCAAATCATAAATCTAATTGCCAGAAGCAAAATGCTAACGTTATGCTATAAACGAACTACAGCCGAGTACAGCAGCACGACTTCAATGTCACGCAAACTTAAGATCGATATTCAAAAATACAGATTCAAAATTGTACAAGTTGAAGTGTTTGTTTTAACAGTTTACAAGAGCGTAGGAACTTGCTTTCAAGCAGAACAGGGCAAACAAACTTAGCGGGAGTGTTTACGTGTTCGGCGTAATGGCATACAGCGTCCTCGACAACTTCTGTAGTCCTATTCAGCCACTTGTTAACAACCATCGTTTTTCAGGCACGTAAATCACCAGTGCAGAGCAAAACGTGATCCGTCTCTTAAATGTGTGTCAACCAGACCTTATTTCGAGCTATTTTCCAAAATCCTATGGAGAAATCCCATTGACTCTGAGACGAGGGAACCAGTAGTGGTAAAATGCTAACTCACTTCCGGGTTTTAGGACTCGTCACTGCACTGCAATGTTATCCTTGAATTTGATAAAGTAACCCGTATTTAAAAATCCTGTAAATGGTTTAAAAATGCGTTAGTTGACAAAATTAGATTTTTTTTGCTTTAACTCATGAACATTATTTTAAGTCATGCCCCGAATGATCTGATTCCGATTGTTATCTGCCTTAATTAAGTTAAAATATGCAATCGGCATTAATGCTTTCTAGTCCCCGATCTGCAAAAAGAAACGACAATAAAATATCCTCTTTTTTTTTTATCGTGGTCAGCAAACTCACCATCAACAAGTACAGGGGGTGATTTTTTTGTAAACAACCACCCTGTGTTAAATTCGGCACAAGGGCTGATAAAGTAAAAAACAAAAGTAGTTATACCGAAAAATACATTTTAAGATTACATTTGAACGTATCAAGATAACGCAACTTACCTTTGCCCAATACACATTTTAATTGAATGCATTATAATGAAACTCGAGGAACCTGCTGCTGTTTACATTAGCTTTTAGCAGATCGTGGCCCTGTAAAGTTAAAGCGTCATCATGATGTGTTCAAATGCAATCTTACAAAATGTAGTTTTTGGCAAGAAACTTCCTCTTTACCCTCATAAACTTTCATGGAGTTCAAGACCCCTTGGTAACCATGGTAAAGCAGCAGAAAAAAGGAGGATCAAGGCATCTCTATCAATAAGTGATCAAGATTTTGCTTTAGCTCATGCAGGTCCTTTTAGGTAAATGCATAAACCCACTCTTGGCCTCACATAGGACCAGTAGGCATCATTAGGAATCATTAGAACACTTGCTGCAGTGTGTATTCAAATTAGGGGTGCACCGAATGGGAAATTCTTGGCCGAAACCGATACCGAAAATAGGAAACAGTTGGCCGAAAACCGAATGCCGAAAGGCCGAAAATGATTAATAGAAATATATATATATATATATAATGTATACATTTTTTACCAATGTTGTTCAGCTACCTGATTATGGAAATAGACATGATTATGGCAAAACTTAACTTAAATAATAATCACTATTATGGGTCCATAAAACATTTATTCAGCACTTTTGAATGCATACAGTACATTTATATATGTCATGTATTATTGCTAAAAAACATGATATCGCAGTCTTAGTGTCGCCAACTCGTTTCTAATATGCAAAGACAACAAATGCGTCTATGATGTATTTTCGATCAGACGAGATCTCTCTCCCCCGTCTGTGTGCGAGGGGGCGGGGCAGTTTACACACATGCAGCTGCTACATGCAGCGGAGCACACTGCGGAGATGGCGGAGAGAACGCGCTCCGAGGTGTGGTTAAACTTTACCCGTCTCGATGTGGAGAATACTTGTTACCATAAGTGCAATAAGAGTTTAGCATGTAAGCACGAGCAATTTGTCTAAACATTTAGCAAAAGTGCACCGCATGCAGACGGAGGAATGCACCGGGTTCGACCGTCTTTCTAGCAGCTATGTAGCTCCATCACGAGTAACGTTTCCACGTCAGGTATTATGTATGCTAGCAGCAACACACGGAGTTAACTACATGATACAAACATGGGTTAATGATTAGAGGAAACTGAGTTATTTAGTTTGTTAAAATTTCAGCTATTCTGTTTACAATCTGTCATCAGATTATTTAATACGATTTGTTAAAGGCTCAGGGCAATCTCGATGACAAAGGTCAATGTTCCCCCCCCTGTGAGCTAGCCGCGAGCATGGTCGCCGCGTCTTTATTACGTCATCACAACAACACGTTAGGTTACCAACGTAAGCCTGTTCTGACATTCGGTGATATTTTTTCGGTGCTAAAGCCGAAAGGGCCTTTTTAACCATTTTCGGCCGATAATTTTCGGTGGCCGAATATTCGGTGCATCCCTAGTTCAAATCATTATGGTTGAAGGCCGTCATTAAAAAGGCATTTGTATTAAATGAAAAAAGAAAAGAGCCAATAACATCACTAACTTGTATTAAGGATGTTAATGCATTACTAAAATCCACTGTCCCAGTAGGAGAGACACTTTTGCCTGATATTCTAGACACTGCATGGCCATAGCGAACAACAGGATGATATGGAGATACTAACCCGGAGGCGAGGAGGTCGTTCACAGGGTTCCAGGCACAGATAAAGACTTCGGATTCGTGGCCTCGGAGAACCATGGCTTTATTCTGGGGGATCTCCACTTCCCTGTCCACCTCCATCATCTCTGCGTGGTGATCTTAAGGAGGGAGTGAGAAAACAAAACCTTTAACTTAAAGCTCACATTACAAGATCCATTACCTTCTGTTGCAGGTAGTAGGGAAGCAAGGGCAATGGAGTACAAACAAGATAAGATGAGTCACCGCTTCAAGGTTAATTTTCAATTGCCAGTGTTTCGCTACAAATAGGCTTAATTTGGGTTGGAACTGCAAACATCCATTTTAATAATGGCGGAGGACAGTCTGACATGATCTAATTTCCTACGAACCAGAGCAGTGGTTCACATGTACGTCATCGTCTGATCTCATTAATTCAAACCGAATGGCGACACCAGTATGTTTTAGACAAGGCTCGAGTTCAATCACCGCTAAATGCACTTTAACATACGGGTTTCTCCTCTTGCACTTTATGTAGCTCTTGTATCTTCTCTTGCACTTTATATGTCGTAGCTGCTACATTGTACTGCCATGTGGTTAATGCTTGTATGCTGCTCATGCTCTTCCTGGATATCATGTATTTATTTTTGCCATGTATATAACTGTCATGTTCATAAATGTTGTATGTGACGGGACTACGGATGGAAATGAGCTCAAAGCTAAAAATCCGGCTCATTTACATTTGTAAGCATTATTTTGTTTAAAATGTTCATCAATGTGCACTGTCCCGAAATCAAATAAACGATTAAATGAAAAACAAATGAGATGAGTAACCACTACTGCTCTAAGTGAACACCAGACAGCTGTGGAATTAAAGGCTGTGCTTGTTGTTAAAAGAACCAAAGCTTGTGCCCAACCCACAGCAAAAGAAGGAACAAAAAACAAGTTATCGAGCCCAGGTTAAACTCTGTGTAAGCCATCGTTGGATTTGTGTTTAGCCCATAAGAACCTGAACATAACACTCTATAATTGTATTGTGAGTCCGGTTGTGATATTGGGATTAAAACACATTGGAGAAAGAAGGAGGTTTTTGAGGGAAAACAAGCAGACCACATTTTTCCTTTCTACGCTAAAACAAACAAACAATTGTGTGTTTGGAAAAGGTGAGTGAAAACATGGAGACAGTGCTACACAGGAAGGACAAAACCAGAAAGGAATATGTGCTGGTTAAAGAAAAATACAGAGTTGCCTTTATGTAATACCAAGCAAGCCACAGACTTAAAAAAAGAAAAGGAAAACCAAATGTTGTACTGCGGCTGTCATGACAAAGGAAAAAAGCAGACCCACACAAACAGAGGTGGTAAGCTTTAACTCCATGCAATACAGTCCTCTTACAGTCTTACAGCTCTTACAGCTCTTACAGTCCTGGCTGCAATACATCCAAACCAGCTACTAACCTGGAAATAATTAAATAACATCGTAATGAATGTTCCTGCACATTCTCCAAATGTACGTTGAAATTAAGTTTGATCATAATGAATTTGCAAAAGTGAACCAAAACAGGGCCATTTACAGAAGCCTTTCCGACTTAGCAAAGCACTGCAAAGAAAAACACCAAGAATTGTTTCATATAATTCAAAGCGAGTGAGCTTCTATTCATGTTAAGGTAGCATTAAAACTTGGTATTGCTTTGCTTTAATTTTTCTCCGTTGTATCAGATTGGATATTGAGAATGGAAAAGAGAACTAGATTAACGGGGGAATGCCAAACAGCTTACACAGCATCTTATAAACACAACTGATTATGTAATTTGTATAGAGATAACATCCTGCATAAATACAGTTGTGGAATTTAGTGGACTATCTGTTTGTTTTAGAGCTTATTCATTCGGAGAGTTTTTGTAACCATGAGTTAGCTTACTGGCTAAGGCGTGGGATCCATTCTCGTCCCCGTTGGCAGTGCCCTCTCCGTTCTTGGGGCCTCCCTGGGGCCCTGCAGCGCTGTCACTGCCTGCCGCCTGCTGCTGCTGCTGCTGCTGCTGCTGCTGCTGGGCCAGCTTTTCCCTGTAGGCCTGCTGCCTGGTTTGGACGACATCTGGCATCACAGCGTCGATCAGAGACAGGGACTCGATGGGCCGCCCGTCAAATAAGGTCCCGTCCTAGGAAGACAAATATAAATAAATACATAAATATATTCACATTATCCTTTAGATTATATGACAAATACAGCAAAGAAACCAACCAACTCTAGTCAAAATAAATCTGACAGTGCAGAATGTTGTAGGATAAAACTAATTATTAGTTTAAAAGCTGACCTCATTAATGCTGACTTCAGCCTCCACATACTGCAGGCCCTTCTGAAGGATGGAGATGAGGGCAGCAGGGGGCACCAGGGCTCCATTGATGTTGGACTGGCTGATGTGGCTCTCTATGCCAAAGGTGAACGCTGAGTGGGAGAAGCCTGGAGGAGATGGGGATCATTAGGAAGGAAGGATGAGTCAATTGCAGGGATTCAAGCAGCAGTGTATAATAAACCATTAGAAATATTACGTTAAGTAGGAAAACAAGTGCAATACAGTGATGCAGTGATGACTTATTTGTGAGGACTGACACGGAGGATAGCATGGCAAGGGGGCCGTCGACAAAAAGCAATGGGATTGCAGAAGATAAGATTTGTGGCAAATTTGTTTATGATACTTCGACATTTGTATCAGCAGTATAATCTCCACATATTGATGACACTTTATCATTTGTGAGGCATAAATGCGATCGGCAGAAGTAAAAAGCTAATGTTAGAGTTTAATGAAACTACATTATCACTTCGCGTCACCATTGCTAAACTAAAGGTAGCTTAGCAACCTCCGTTTTTATGTCACAGAGACTTCTGACATTCACAAGTTGCACTGTTGGAGGAGCCCGTGACCTAAGATTTTCATCTACATAACTGCTGGGACTCCCAGCAGCTTCTACTGAAGCCTTCCGAGTAAATCGCCAGAATGCCGACACCTCCTCATCTCCACCGCTCCCATGTTTTTTTTTGTGTTGCCATAAGTTAGTCTTTCTCCGTTGGTGCGCTGGGCTAATGCTAATAATGCTAATGCCAGCAAATACAATGGCGGCTTCAAAAAACGTTTCCGAGTTTTACGGGCCGTGGTTTCCAATTCGCCGAGTCAATCAGAAATGGGAACCTTTTTCTCCCATGAAAGTACCTGCTCTCTAGCAGGGACTAAAAAGGGGAGAAAAGGTTCTCATGAACTAAGTTCTAGTTCCAGATCTTTTTGGTGTGAACGCAAAATCTCAGGAACTATCGGAACTAAAAGGGAAAAGTACACGGAAAAGTACTCCGGTGTGAAAGCGCCTAAGGACACCGGAAGTGGGGAAATGCTAACTACTTTCTGGGTTTTAGGCCCCATTAACGCAACGCTCTTTTCACAGAATTGTACTTTTGAAAAATGAAAGCAAGACTTACCTGACTCTTGCAGGTATCTGTAAACCAGGAAATTTACTTCATCACTGCTTATGCTCATTTTTAGTCCTTGTGATTAAACCATTTGGTCAGCACAGGATAGGAGTCTGTAAAAAAAGAACACAGAGCAGGGAGTGTTATATATATATCCTTTATTTAACCAGGTAAAAGACTCATTGAGATTAAAATCTATTTTCCAAGAGTGACCTGGCCAAGAGGGGCAGCATGTACGAAGTTACAACAGATAAAACACAGACATGACAGGCAGACAAATACAGCTGTAAAACACAAATAAAATGGCACATTAGCCAGTCAATATGTGAAGTAAAACAAACTATTAAAAATCATTAAAAACTGGCAACATTTAAAACGATTTTAGGATATACGAGCACTCACATCTACCAATGGTGTCGTGTTCTCTGTCCTTTAAGATGGACCTGAATTCCCCCATAGTGATTAAATCTGAGAGTTTCAGCTCCTTCTGTACATTGTTCCAAGCTGTGGGGGCAGCATATTTAAAAGCTGTTTTACCCAGTTTTGTTCTCACTGTAGGAACCAGCATCTGAATAAAATCTTGGGAGTGCAGGCCATATAGACTTTCTCTTTGACACATATATGTGCAAATGTAGGAGGGAACCAACCCAAGCAGAGATTTATAAATAAAACCCAACCAATGGGAAAGTCTGCGAGCAGACAAAGATGGCCAATTAGCAGCAGCATATAAAGTGCAATGGTGTACTCGATATCCACATCCAGTAATAAATCGTAAGGCACAATGTTACACAGTATCCAAGCTCTTTAGGCACTGGTCAAAGGCATTCATGTATAGCAGGTCACCATAATCTAATACAGGTAAAAACTTTACAGATATCAAATGTTTCCTTGTCTGAAAAGAGAAACAGGATTTATTTCTGTAAAAGAAACCTAATTTTATTTTTTAGCTTTGAAACAACATTTTCCGTGTGTAACTTGAAAGACAAGTTCTGTTCAATAAGAAATCCCAGATATGTGTAAGTAGTGACCCTCTCAATGTCAGCCCCTTGAGCAGTACACATCGTGGGTAGAATAGATGGTAACTTTTTGCCATTCGAAAATATCATCACTTTGGATTTTTCAGCATTTAATACCAACTTTAGTTGATATAAATGGGTTTGTATGACATCAAAAGGCAGACTGGAGGAAATCTAGACTTTGCTCTATAGAAGCGGAGGAACAATAAATAACAGTGTCATCTGCATACAAATGGTAAGAAGCATTTGCTACATAGATTATTTACATACAGTGGGGCAAAAAAGTATTTAGTCAGCCACCAAGTGTGCAAGTTCTCCCACTTATTTATTTGCAAATGATGGTGGAAAATAAGTATTTGGTCAATAACAAAAGTTCATCTCAATACTTTGTTATATACCCTTTGTTGGCAATGACAGAGGTCAAACGTTTTCTGTAAGTCTTCACAAGGTTTTCACACACTGTTGCTGGTATTTTGGCCCATTCCTCCATGCAGATCTCCTCTAGAGCAGTGATGTTTTGGGGCTGTCGCTGGGCAACACGGACTTTCAACTCCCTCCAAAGATTTTCTATGGGGTTGAGATCTGGAGACTGGCTAGGCCACTCCAGGACCTTGAAATGCTTCTTACGAAGCCACTCCTTCGTTGCCCGGGCGGTAGGGCTGCACGGTATTGAAAAAAACTGACATCGCGATTTCCCCCCCCCCTGCGGTATATATTACGTTTTTTTTAACCTGTTAAACCCCAAAGTCCCGGCGGGTACTTTACATTTTTTTTTCGCGACAGTGTCTCAGGGGATCGTAATATTTAAGAACCTATTAATGTGTTATACCAGATTAACGGAAATAATCTCAGCTAACTGACGATACAAACCATTTTTACCAAAACAAAACACAAGTCTCATAAGAAGCATCTAAATGACCCCTGAGCGAAAAATGCTAATGCACTTTGGCACAGAACTCAAGATAAAAGTACCCTTATTATTACTTATCGTAGCTGCACTTACAAGATATCCGATTAAAGCTGAGGTTTCACAGATTATTTAGGTATATAGTATCATCACTGAGTGATCTGAACTCGGACAGGGGAAGCAAACACAGACATCACAACACGTACCTTTACGTAGCTTCTAGGGGAGATGACTCACCGTAGCTGTCAATCTGATCAAAAGACGTGTTCAATGGCATTAAAACGAGAAAGAAAAAACGCGGCTGAATCGGTTAATCCATAGGTTTTTAACGTCTCTGTATACAAAAATGATTTAATTTATAATCCATAATTCCATTTTTATGTAAATATCGCAGAGCAAAAGTTAGCTGCTAATGGTAGCCACCAGAGTGGCTGCTGCTTCAGGTCTTGGCTATGCGGAAGTCTCACACACACACATTACCAAATAAGGACTGTGTGATTTCCCCTCGATTCCAGCTCTGACGGTCAGAAAGAGATGTCACATGTCAAAATCCAGCAAGGTGGGCCAGAGATATGGAAAATCCACCCAAATGGCCCCAAAAGAGGGTTTTTTTTGTGCTAAATCTGTCTAAAAAGGTCAAATATCACTTGTTTTGCATCAATCTTGATACAGAATGATTGTGATTGGTGGTTTGCTGTGCATGCAGGGGAAGTTCTACACACACCAACACATGAACAAATAAGGAGTGAGAGTAACGCGTAGCCAAAACCGGAAGCTGCATACACTCTGGTGGCTACCATTAGCAGCTAACTTTTGTGCTCCGATTTTTACATAAAAATTGAATTATGGATTATAAACAATTGCTTCAAAGCCACAGATACATTATCAACCTATGGATCAACCGATTCAGCCGCGTTTTTTCTTTCTCATTTTAATGCCATTGAACACGTCTTTTGATCAGATTGACAGCTACGGTGAGACGATCTCCCGTAAAAGCTCCGTAAAAGGTACGTGTTGTGATGTCTGTGTTTGCTTCCCCTGTTGCGAGATCGGATCGCTTAGAAGATACTATACTTAAATAATCTGTGGAGTCTCAGCTTTAATCGGATATATTGTATGTGCAGTTTCGATAAGTAATAAGGGTATCTTTATTTTGAATTGTGTGCTAAAGTGCGTTAGCATTTTTTTTTTTTAAATGAATAAAACCGCACGTCCCTGCGGTGTGAATACCGCGCATGCGCATACCGCAGTTATCGCCATGACACGGTATATCGTTCAGCCCTACCGGGCGGTGTGTTTGGGATCATTGTCATGCTGAAAGACCCAGCCACGTTTCATCTTCAATGCCCTTGCTGATGGAAGGAGGTTGTCACTCAAAATCTCACGATACATGGCCCCATTAATTCTTTCCTTTACACGGATCAGTCGTCCTGGTCCCTTTGCAGAAAAACAGCCCCAAAGCATGATGTTTCCACCCCCATGTTTCACAGTAGGTATGGTGTTCTTTGGATGCAACTCAGCATTCTTTCTCCTCCAAACACGTCTAGTTGAGTTTTTACCAAAAAGTTCTATTTTGGTTTCATCTGACCATATGACATTCTCCCAATCCTCTTCTGGATCATCTAAATGCTCTCAGCAAACTTCAGACGGGCCTGGACATGTACTGGCTTAAGCAGGGGGACACGTCTGGCACTGCAGGATTTGAGTCCCTGGCGGCGTAGTGTTGTACTGATGGTAGCCTTTGTTACTTTGGTCCCAGCTCTCTGCAGGTCATTGACTAGGTCCCCCCGTGTGGTTCTGGGATTTTTGCTCACCGTTCTTGTGATCATTTTGACCCCACGGGGTGAGATCTTGCGTGGAGCCCCAGATTGAGGGAGATTATCAATGGTCTTGTATGTCTTCCATTTTCTAATAATTGCTCCCACAGTTGATTTCTTCACACCAAGCTGCTTACCTATTGCAGATTCAGTCTTCCCAGCCTGGTGCAGGTCTACAATTTTGTTTCTGGTGTCCTTTGACAGCTCTTTGGTCTTGGCCATAGTGGAGTTTGGAGTGTGACTGTTTGAGGTTGTGGACAGGTGTCTTTTATACTGATAACGAGTTCAAACAAGTGTCATTAATACAGTTAACGAGTGGAGGACAGAGGAGGCTCTTAAAGAAGAAGTTACAGGTCTGTGAGAGCCAGAAATCTTGTTTGTTTGTAGGTGACCAAATACTTATTTTACCGAGGAATTTACCAATTAATTCATTAAAAATCCTACAATGTGATTTCCTGGATTCTTTCCCCCCATTCTGTCTCTCATAGTTGAAGTGTACCTAGGATGAAAATTACAGGCCTCTCATCTTTTTAAGGCGTGACACGGCAGGCAAAAACATCGTTTTTCAAGTACTGGTTAATTTTGAGATGTTGTGCTATTTTGATTCTATAACATGTTGTCTTTCAGGCTTTTGGAAGGAAAACGTACAAAATACACATTTAAGTGTTTATTTTACTATAGTTTGTCTATTTGCGTCTTTAGATTTCTCCTAAATTCACCAAAAGTTAGCATTCTAACGTAACATAAAGTACCGCGACCGCTGTGTGCACCATGTCATCAGAGATATCGTTAGAAAGCTGTGTCTCTCCTGCACAATCTCATCGGATCCAAATATGGTCATTTCCTTTGTATCAGCAACCAATCGTGAAAGCACAAAGGGGTCTTAAACCAAGAAACAAAATCTCATTGGCTGGTGTCAATTTCTGACAACGTGATTCGTTCAGATGCGTCACGTGTAGGGCTGTAGCGATACACTAATCTCACGATACGATACGATACACGATATTCAGCCAACGATACGATATATATCACGATATTCAGCCAACGATACGATTCGATTCGATATAATTCGATACACTTATATCATTTTCTGAAAGATTTTTAAAGGGACAGTGTGATTTTGGTGACATCTTGTGAGTGTTCCATTGACTTGGATTGAATTAATTCAACTGAAAACTGAAAGCATCAATTATACAATATATGGCTCTGACAGAGAGTCTACAGCTTGCAAATGCTGGACAAAATGAATCAAAAGATGTGGTGAGAAAATTAGTTTCCTTTATTGAAACAGTGCAAACTGTAGCTTACAAGCCTTTGAAACGTAATTACATAAAGTGCAGTATCACAATGGACAATGGAGAATTAAAAGGTGC